AGCCCCTGCCTAGGATCCCCCAGTGAGGGACTGGGGTGTGGCTCAGCGGTAGAGCCCCTGCCTAGGATCCCCCAGTGAGGGCCTGGGGTGTGCCTCAGGGGTAGAGCCCCTGCCTAGGCTCCCCCAGTGAGGGGCTGGGGTGTGGCTCAGCAGTAGAGCCCCTGCCTAGAATCCCCCAGTGAGGGGCTGGGGTGTGGCTCAGTGGTGGAGCCCCTGCCTAGGATCCCCCAGTGAGGGCCTGGTGTGTGCTTCAGGGGTAGAGCCCCTGCCTTGTCTTCCAATGAGGCCTTGAGGATGTAGCCCAGTTAGGTAGAACACCTGCAAAGAATCCATCAGTGGGGTCTGGGAAGTGGCTCACAGCGGAGTGCCCACCAAGAATCCTCCGTGGAGGAGCTGGGGGGTGTGGTTCAGTATAAAGCACTCACCTAGAATCCCCCAAGGAAGCATTTGGGGTATGGCCCAGCAGTAGGCCTCTGCCTAGAATCCACCAGGGAGGGGCTGGTTCTTGGCTCATTGGTAGTGCACTTGACTAGCCATGTTCCAACATCAGCACCTTGAGAAGAAAAGCCAGCAGGTGTCCCAAGAGGGCGAAATGGCTGGAGAGTCATTCAAAGAATGGTGCGGGAAAGGCGGGGACAGGTCTGCACTTGCCACAGTACAGACCTCACAGACGCAACATTGTTCAAGGGGACTCGCTGGAGCCAGCAGAAGGGAACCCAGACCCTTGGTCTCGCCTCACAGGGGTCCAGGAAGGCACTCGGCGTTTCCGCTGCCGTGGGTGTTACTCCTCCATCTGTGATCTCCCCCTGGACTGTCCCGGTGAGAGGGCGGGGCTGGGATGCAGGGAAAGGGGCGGGGCCTGGGCATGCCCTTCAGAGCCGCCCCACCTATGTCCAGTCCAGGACGTGACGGTGACCCGAGGGAACCAGGCTTTGTTTTCTTGCGTCGTGGGCTTCCAGTTGCCTCTGCCGGAGCTCACTTATTCTTGGAAATTCGCAGGAGGCGGTGTGAGTGGAGACGGGGCCAGCTGGAGGGTTTAGTGGGTGGGCGCTGCTGCAGATGGAGGCTCAGTATGTGTATGGAGGACCAGGGCTTAGGTGTGCATTAGGAGTCAGGCTCCAGGGAGTCCCGGGAGGGGCTGCTAAGGGCGCTAAGGGTCAAGGCTGGGTGTGTGGTGTGTGTGTGTGTCCGGTCTTGCATGCACTCGATGGCTGCGTCTTGCACACGTGCTCCGGCGGGCCCAGCTGCCCAGCGTCAGCCCGGCCGTCCTGCAGCTCCGGACTCAGGACATGGCCTACTTCCGCGACGTGCCGGGGTCCCATGGGCCCCTGGCACGGATCCGGCCGGTGCAGCCCACGCATCGCGGGACCTTCTCCTGCGTGATCCTGCAGGACCAGCGCCCTCTGGCTCGGCTGTATTTCTTCCTGAATGGTGCGGTGCGGGGCCTGGAGCGGGGGCGGGGCCTGGCGGGCGTGGCCCTGCCCTCTGACGTGTGCGCCCGGGGCAGTGACCGGCCCAGCCCCGCGGGAGGAGATGGAGCTGCAGGTCACGTTCCGGGAAGTGATGAGCTGGGCACCGCGGGAGGCGGAAGTGGCGGAGCCCGGGAGGCCCAGCCTAGGGGAGCTGCTGGCCCAGCCGCGGGCGCTGACGCTGGGCAACCTGTGCTTGCTCGGGGCCACCGCGGCGCTCGTGTCCGCGAGTGTCACGCTGCTGGTGTGGTGAGTCCCAGCGTCTGCATCGGGTGTCCACCGCAGCCAGGAATCTAGACTCCTGAGTTCTCCGGAGCCAGGAGTCCAGACTCCGTCCTTCCTCGTTCAGGGTCCAGACCCCAACCTCCTCCCTCAGACCCCGGGGTCCAGACCCCAGCCTCCTCCCTTAGACCCAGGGATCCAGACCCCAACCTCCTCCCTCAGACCCCGGGGTCCAGACCCCAGCCTCCTCCCTTAGACCCAGGGATCCAGACCCCAACCTCCTCCCTCAGACCCCGGGGTCCAGACCCCAGCCTCCTCCCTTAGACCCAGGGATCCAGACCCCAACCTCCTCCCTCAGACCCCGGGGTCCAGACCCCAGCCTCCTCCCTTAGATCCAGGGGTCCAGACCCCAGCTCTCCTCCCTCAGACCCAGGGGTCCAGGCCCCAGCCTCCTCCCTCAGACCCAGGGGTCCAGACCCCAGCCTCCTCCCTCAGACCCAGGAGTCCTGGCCCCAGCCTCTTCCATCAGACCCAGGGGTCCAGACCCCAGCCTCCTCCCTCAGACCCAGGAGTCCAGACCCCAGGCTTTATCTCAGATGGAGGAATCCAGGAATACAGAAGTCCTCACCCTGGCCCTCTGGCAAACTTAGGTCCAGGTTCTTTGCAACTTTGAGGCCCCAGAGGTCTGTACCCCAAGATGTATGCGCCTATCTCCCGTGCTCTTAACAGCCCACACCTGTTTGCTTTCTCAGGATATTCTTTCGATGGTATGTAAGCGGCAGTTAGCAAAGGTGTCTGTTCCTTCTGCCGCCACTCCTGAAATAAAGAACGTACTTCTGCTCTGTGTTCTCTTTGCTTTTAAAAGTGGTCACTTCATCTAGAGAAGAAGGCCAGCATACCCCAAAATGCTCAGGTGAATTCAGCCCCATGATGACAGTGCAAGGCTGGGCAGGAGGCACTTGGGCACCAGTCTGGACCCTCCCTGACCTCTGGCAGCCTCCTAAACACCCTTAGTGTCCTATATGGTGCCCCCCCCAACCTTTCCTCCCCTAGGCCTTCCTGTCGGAAAACGTACATAGATGCACTAATATCAGACCAGAAACTACTAAGCCACACCCCAGCCCCTTACTATGGGGAATTCTAGGCAGGGGCTCTACTACTGAGCCTCCCAGATGTCCGGCATTGAGTTACATTAGTAGACTTTGGTTTTACTTAAGTGTACCCACTTCTTCCCTTTTGAAATAAGACAATATGTAATTTGTTTTGGATTTTTCAGGGGCCCATAGTTAAGAGACTTTTCTTAAAGAGACTTTGAACTTTTTTTTATGTGTATGCATGTATTGCCCCCATGTAGGTAAGTGTACCCATGTCATGTAATCCCTGTGGAGGTCAGAAGAGGCTGTTGGATCCCCTGGGACTGGAGTTACGGACAGTTATCAGCTGCCATGTGGGTGCTGGGATTTGAACCTGGGTCCTCTGCAAGAACAACCAGTGTTCTTAACCACTGAGCCATCTCTCCAGCCCTAAGACTTTGAACTTTTAATGTGTTTGAACTTATTAGAGACTGTAGGACTTTTAAAGTTATGTTTTATATTGTAATATTAACAGGAGATCTTGGGGCTAAGAAATGGAAAGGTTATGTTTAATAGTGTTGTGTTTGCATGTCAGATTGATAAGGGGGGCAGTTGTTAACTTGACTCACTTGGGAAAAGGAAGCCTCAATTGGGAAATTTCCTCTATTGGACTGGCCTGTGGGCATGTCTGTGAGGCATTGTCTTCATTGTTGAGTGATGTGGGAGGGCTCAGTCCACTGGGTGGTGCCACCCCTGGGTAGGTGGTCCTGCTTGTCTAAGAAAGCAGGCTGAGCCCAGGCCAGTCAGCAGTGTCCCTGATCTGCACTTCAGCTCCTGCCAAAATAAACTGTTCCTTCCTCCAACTTGCTTTTTGGTCAGTGTTTTGTCACAAACCAGCACTGGGGCTAAAGATGCTCCAAGATACTTTGACTCTGAACCTGGAACATTCCAAACTCTCCACAGTCTTTGAAGTTCAAAGCAAATTAACCAGCCTTGCAGAAGGTTCAGTGGAAAGTGCAGTTTGTTTCTGGACCCCTTTGTTCACAGGTGTGAGGGAGGGGTTAACGCTGGCATGCTGAATGCCGAGCAGAAACAGGTGTAGACAAGAGGTTTCTCTGATGTAAAGGGGCTTCATGAAGAAGAGCCTGAAGAAAACCTTTTGAAAAGGTTTATGTGTTTAATGTGTGTATGTGAGTGTATGCACAGATGTGTATGTGTATTACATGTCTGCGGGCATGTGGAGGCCAGAGGAGGGTGTCAGGTGTTTTCTGCCTGTTTGAGGCAGGGTCTCTCCCTGAAGCTGAGGCTCATGTTTTCTCAGGCTGGTGTTTCTCAGCAAGCCCCAAGGATCCTCCTGTCTTTCCCCCTTGGAGCTGGTGTTCACAGGCATGCACAAGACATTTGGGCTTTTTAGGTCAGTGCCGGGATCCAAACTCAGCTTTCCTGTTTGTGCAAGTGCATTCTACTGCGGAGCCACCTCTACAGTCCTCTCTTTTATATTTTTTGAGTCTCACAGCCTAGGCTGGCCTTGAACTCCTGAGCTCCTGTCTCTACTTCCCGAATGCTGGGATTATAGGTGTGTACCAACATACTCAGGTTATTTGGTGTTGGGGATGGAACTCAAGGTTTTGTGCATGCTAAGTAAGCCAGCAACCGGTTACATTCCTGGACTGAACCCGGGAGAAAAATCAAATGAAGAAGGCATTTTAGAGCCAGCATTTGGAAGGCAGAGTCAGGCAGGGATCTCTGTGAGTTCAAGCCAGCCTGGTCTACATAGAGAGGTCCAGGCCAGCTGGGGCTTCGGGAGACCCTGTCTCAAAACAGCAATAGCAACAGCAAAACCCTCTAAAGAAAAGAGAAGGCTTTTCATGGGGAGAGTTGCGTGGCCCTGAATGTGGTGCTGCATCCTGAAGTAGGAGGCCGACTTCAGCAAGGTGGGCATCATTAATGAGTTTAATGACTAATTTTATGGAATGGGGGTAAGGTGAGGTGTGGGGGCTGGTCATGAAATTGGTTTGGGTTTATAACATTGGGACTCAGCATTAGTCATTAGAGAAAAGGAAATCCAAACCACAAAGAGAAACCACTTCACAGCCTCTGGGATAGCCTGTCATTAAAAGTTAGGTAATAACTGTGCTAAGGGAGGTGGGGATCGGAAGCCTCCTGTCATGGCTGGCAATGGTGTAAAATAAAATACCCCCGTGGAAAGGCCTGGCGGTCCCTCATAAAAGTAAAGGTGGGTGGGGAGGGGCTGGGAGATAGCTCAGTGGGTTCAGGGCTTGCCATGAGGGACCCGAGTTTGGATCTCTAGAACCCATGTAAAGCTGGATGAGGTGGTGAGCATCTGTAATATCTGCACTCCTCCAGCAAGATGGGAGGTGGAGACCTGGAAAGTCTCGTGCCAGCTAGTCAGGTATACAGAGGTGAAGAAGAGACCCTGTCTCCACCTGCAAGGCAAGGGCTGGTGCCTGAGGTGGTCCTTTGACCTGCACATACATGCTGTGGCACTTGTGTGTGTCCAGGGCCTGGAGAGATGGCTCAGCATTGGCTGTTGTTGCAGAGTCCTAGATTCAGTTCCCAGCATCCACATGGTGGATAACATCTGTCCTTAACTCCAATTCCAGGGGACCTGACTGCTTCTGGCTTCTGCAGGCCCTGCTTGCACACATGTGCACTTGAATGTGTTTCAAAACACTCACACACAAGTAAATAAAGAATCCTATGGTGGTGGCATGCACCTTAAATCCCAGCACTTGAGAGGCAGAGGCAGGCAGATCTCTGTGAGATCGAGGCCAGCCTGGTCCACATAGTTCCAGGCCAGCTGTGGCTATAAGGAAAGTCTGTTTCAAATAGCCCCAAGTTGGGAACATCTCAAATGTCTATCCACTGAAAGATAGACAAAATGGGTTATGCCGTTACTACATAACTCTCAATGACAAAAGGAATCAGAGAACGGTATGAACTTTGAAAGCGTTGTGCTGAATTGAATCAAAAGATCATATGCCTGATTCTATATGAACTATAAAATAGGTAAATCCACAGACAGGCATGGATGCCGTGGGCCGGGAGGGCCAGCCAGCCGAGGGAGAAGACCACCCCTTGTGAATATGAAGTACTGTTGGGGGTGATGGAAACATATTAAAATTCGATTATGGCTGTGGCTGCACAAATTGCTAGATTTACTAAAATCATTAAATTGTACATTTAGTGGAGATGGCTTTTTCAAGGGGGTGTTGCTCTTAATAGGGAAATGGCACAGTGGTTCAAGAGGAACGATCCAGAAAATCATAGATTTTGTATTTTTATTTTTTGTGTTTGGCATGCATGTGTGTAAGTACACCTATGTTGTAAAATGCCTACAGAGATCAGAATAGGCCATCTGATCCCTTGGAACTGGAATTAGGAATGGTTTTAGCTGCCATGTGGGTCCAGGTTAAGCAGCCAGTGCTCTTAACCTGCTGAGCCATCTCTATAGCCCCTGAGAGTCACATATTTTTTGAGCTGGAGCGATGGCTCACCAGGTTAAGAGCACCTACTGCTCTTCAGAGGACCCAAGTTCAATTCCCAGTAACCATAGGATCCAACACCTCTGGCTTCTGTGGGCACCTATACTCACATGCACAAATCCATACAGAGACATATCTATGCATAATTAAAAATAAAATAATTTTTAAAGTTTTATAAAAGAATGTTGGATTTTGTTTTGGTTTTGAGACCATATCCTGTATCATGTAGCCCAGAGTGGCCTCAAGCTCTCTGTTACCACATGTGATGGTTAGGGTTTTTAAAAATGGACTCACACATAAAATAAAAATAAAATATTAAAAATGTATTTTATGTGTATGAGTGTATTGCCTGCACGTGTGGAAGTGCACCCGTGTTGTGCAATGCCATGGAGGTCAGGAGAGGGTGTCGGATCCCCTGGAACTGGAGTTAGAACGGATGTAGCCACCATGTGGGTGCTGGGAACCAAACCAGGTCCTCTGCAAGAGCAGCCAGTGCTCTTGGCTGCTGAGCATCTCCCCCAGCCCCACAATTAGTTCTGTCAACTTGACATAATATAGAATCGTCTGGGCAGGCCATCTCGATGAAGAATTGTCTAGAGTCGGTTGGCCTGTGGACGTGTGTGGGGTTAATTGGGTTAAGGTGGGAAGACCCACCCTGAATGGGCAGCACCATTTCATGGGTGGGGCCCCAGACTGAGTGAAAAGGAGAGAGGGGGCATCAGCATGTGTGTGTTAATCCATTGCTCTGCTCTGGACTGTAGATGTATTGTCAACAGATCTGCCTGCTTCAGCCTCCTGAGTGCTGAAGTGCAGATGCCACCCCGGGGCAGGTGGTCCTGGGTTCCATAAGAAAGCAAGTTGGGGTTAAAGGTGTATGCCACCACGCCCTGGGCAGATGCCACCCCGGGGCAGGTGGTCCTGGGTTCCATAAGAAAGCAAGTTGAACACAGGTCAGAGGAGCAAGCCAGTAAGCAGTGTTTCTGTGTGGTCTGTGGGCCACTTCCTGCCTGCAGGTTCCTGCTTTGGCTTCCCTTGAAGACAGACTGGCACTTGGAAGCGTAAGGTGGAGTAAACCCTTTCCTCCCCAAGTTGCTTTTAGTATCTTATCACATCACTAGAGGCTTAAAGTAGAGCATCTGTAGTCTCAAAAGGTTCCGGCAAGAAAGGCCCCGTGGAGGTTCAAATGTCCATCACCCAAGACTGAGCCCAGGGCCCCCAAGTCTCAGTGACAGAGCTCCCCAAATTCTCAAAACACAAAGAGGGAGGAGCGTCTCACAACAAAATAAATAGAATTCTTTATTCGCTCACAATCACAGTGCAAACAGGTTAAATAAGAACAGGTCCTTTCCCCTGGTCCTAAGACTCCACATCCCGTCAATAAATTACCCCTCCCCAGAGACCCAGAAGACTGAGCCCCAAAGTAGTCCAGACCGAAGAGTCTTGGGTTGACTCATTTCGTGAGAAAGGTAAACTGAGGCCAGGGAGTCCCCACGGAGTCCGGGGCCCCCTCACAGGTCTCTTGCCTCTCCTGATGGCCACCAGTGGTCAGTGCCCGAGGTCAGGATCACACCTGGACACGATAGCCCCCACTGCGCCGTCGGCAGAGCCTCCGCACACCTACCCAGTACACAGTCAGCATCACCGTCCAGTAGGCCACATAGGCCCCGGCCCCTGCGGCAAGGTGGGAGGCCTCGGCCGCCCGGGAAGGCCCACTCCAGTCCGCCCTGGCCTCCTGGACCACACTGCGCACCAGGCCTCCGAGCAGCAGCAGAGCCCAGATGGCCAGAGGCAGCACCGGGACGTAGTTGGCGGCCAGTTTCCTCCGGCCCGACGTGCCCCATCCACTTTGGTTCATGGTGACCAGGGCCAGGAACTTGGCGGGCAGCAGGCCGCACATGTACAGCGGTGCGTACAGAGACAGCAGCACCATGCGCAAGCACCCGCGCAGCCAGGCCGCGAAGGCCGCCTTGGCCAGGGCCACACCCTGCACGCACAGCAGCACCCAGAGCAGGGCCCAGGGGCGCCCCGCGTAGAAAAGCCGCAGCACGGTGGCCGCCACGAAGAACGGGAAGAGGCCGGACACCACCGCCTCGTAGGTCATCCAGGCGTGATGGCGGTGCCACCACAGGGCGTTGTAGAGCCACTCTCGGAAGTAGGACTTGGACCAGCGCGTCTGCTGGCTGAGCCAGCGCAGGAAGGCTGAGGGGGTCTCGGAGTAGCACCGAGAGCGAGACGTGTACCTGGACAGGTGCGGAGGAGAAAGGGAGGGGTTGGGTGGTCGTCCTGGGAGCCGGGCAGGGCTTTATTTTGTTATTATTATTGGGGTTATATTTTTTATGTGTATGAATGTTTGCATGTGTGCCAGCGCACCGTGTCGTGCAATGCCACTAGAGCTACAGATGGTTGGTAGCCGCCATGTGGGTGCTGGGAATCCAGCCAAGTTCTCTGCAAGAGAAGTCAGAGCCATCTCTCCAGCCCCTATTTGGTGGGTTTTTTTGCCTAGGGTCTCACTGTGTAGCCCTAGCTGGCCTAGAGCTCACTATGTAGACCAGGTTGGCCTTGAACTCACAGAGAGCCGCCTGCCTCTGCTCTGGGACTGCTGGGACTAACAGCACGAGCCACCGTGTGCTGCCAGGGCAGGATTTTAAAGCAACCACTTTGTACTGCTTATTGGGGCAAATTCCTCAATGCATTAGTTTTCTTGTTGCTGTGACAAAATACCTGTTGGAGGCAACATAAGGAAGAAGGAGTTCTGTGACTCACATTCAAGGGTATGGTCTGTCAGTAGAGGGGGCCGGTGTTGAGGGAAGAGGGTGAGGCCGCTGGTCACATCCAACCACAGTCAGGAAGCAGAGAGAGATGAATGCTGGTGCTCAGTTCTCGCGTTTTCTCTCTCAACGTGTGTGTGTGTGTGTGTGTGTGTGTGTGAAGTGCCATAGCACATGTATAGATGTCAAAGGGTAGTTCACACGTGTAGATGGAGTTCTTTCCTTCCACCATGTCAGTTCCAAGGATCAAAGTCATCAGGCTCCGTTGCAAGTGCCTTTATGGGCTGAGCCTTGTGTTGTGTTGGGCCTCACTGTCTCCTTTTTATTCAGGCTTGGGGACTGAAAGCCATGAAATGGCACTGTGTGCATTTACGGTGGGTCTCTCCATATCAATGAGTCTAGAAACTCCCTCACAGACATGCCCAGAGATCTGTCTCCTATGTGACTCTAATCCTGCCAAGTCAAAAATCAATGTTAACCACCACACTTAATTTTTCTGGGCCTCAATTTTTTTAAAAAAAATATTCATTTATCTGTGTCTGTGTGTATGTGTCTGTGTGTGTGTGTGTGCATGCATGCGCATGTGCAGTGCCTTTAGTGACCTGAAGAGTGTCAGATACCCTGGAGCTGGAGTTTCAGGTGGTTGTGAACTGTCTGACATGGGTGCTGGGAACTGAACTCAGGTCCTTTGGAAGAGCAGCAACTGCTCTTAACCTCTAAACCAGTTCTCCACAGCCCCGTCAACTTCCCTTCTATGGACCCGTGACATCATCATACACACACACACACACACACACACACACACACACACCACACATATATGTACTTTTGAGACAGGGTCTCCCCAGATGGCCTGGAACTTGCTATGTAGACCAGGCTGGCCTCAAACACAGAGATCCACATGCCTCTGCCGCCCGAGTGCTGGGATCAAAGCTGTGTGCCACTCGGCCCACTACGCCCGGCTCATTTACTATTTGTATCAGCCAGGACTGCATGAAGATTGAAAGTCCATGCTCCACAGTACTTGCTCAATCAGTGTCGTCTACTGCTGTTTTCACTGTGGCTAGCTCCATCACTATCCATGTTACTAATATAATCACAGTGTCTGACGCTATTGCCAACACCATTCCTACGATGAGTAAGTGTTTGCTCTGTTGGCAGGTCTTACCATGAGGAACAAGGTGGGGTGGCTGGCTGTTACCTAGGTTGGTCTCTGTGTTAGGCGTTCTCAAAGGAGCAGCTGGACCCCTTCCTGTGGCTGAGTCCCCGTGTTGTTTTGGGCCACACCCATGCAGGCTAGATAGAACCTGGCCATGGAAAGTCATGGTGGTCACCAGCAGTTTATCAGGAGAGGTCAAATTGGTCTCTCCCCAGGGACATCACTTGACAGTGTCTCCCTCCCGGGTCACTTGACACTTTTAGTGTCCTGATTGCTTCTGCCTTTGCTGTCTGTACCCAAATAGCTGCCCGAACTGTCAATCTTCTGCTCGGAGCCCTCAAGGGCTGTCATATTTTTATACAGATCCTAGAAGCCTTTCACAAGTGGATTCTAGTTGGCTCCTTGCCCTCTTCTCCTGGAACTCCTGGCTAATGTGTTGGTTACTTTTTGTCAACTTGATACAAACCAAGACATACCAGGGACGAGGGAATCTCAAATGAGAAGATGCCTCCGTTAGACTGACCTGTGGCCATGTCTAAGGGGCATTTTCTTAATTGCTAATTGATATGGAAGAATCCAGCCCACTTTGGACAGTGCCATCCTTGGGCAGGTGGGTCTGGGCTGCATAAAAAAGACAGCTGATCGAGCCAGGGGGAGGAAGCCAGTACCCAGCGTTCCTCCATGGTCTCTGCTTCAGTTCCCAGGTTCCTGCCTTGAGTTCCTGCCCTGTCCTCCCTCAGTGATGGACTGTGACTTAAGTGTAAGATGAAATCAACCCTTTCCTCTCCAAGTTGTTTGGCTCATAGTGTTTATCACAGCAACAGGAAGCCGAGCTAGCACAACTCATTAGGAGTTTGTTGCTCCAGCAACAAAATCTTGTTCCACCCCAAGCACTCTGACTGATATTTCTCTCCCTAACCCTGGTACTTCCCACCTCCCTGAGAGAATTGTCTGGCTGCTTCTGTCAAATTGAAACCGTCCCCCTTGGAAGGAGGAGGGAATCGGCTCATATGACTCAGAAAGTTCTGTGGCAGCTCAGAGAACTTAAAAGACTCAGGAAGCTTCAAAAGTTACAAGACTTAGAAGAATCCAAAAGATTACACAAAATTGCTGTTGGGTGTGCAGGGGGCTCTAGGGATGTAGCTTTCCTGAGTTATCACCTATGCTGGGGTGAGTTTTGATGATGTGGCTGCCTGAGTCACCCATGGTCCTTCAAGTAACCTCAATAAAACGGCTGGCTCACCAAATTAGACTTGGGTGGGATTCTTTTTGTCTGCCATTTGTAGTCTGTCTGGGGTGACTGGATATGTGTTCACATCTGTGCTGGTTAGTTTTAACTGTCAGTTTGCTACAACCTAGAATCACCTGGGAAGGGCTTCAGTTGCAGAACTGTCTACATCAGATTGGCCAGGAGGCATGCCTCTGAGGGACTTGTCTTGATTATTAATTGAGATAGGGAGATGCATCTTGATTGTGAGCAGTCCAGTTTATGGGCTGGACCCTGGACGGTGTAAGAGAATAGAGAAAAGCTGGGTGTGGTGGCATACACTTTTAATCCCAGCACTTGGGAGGCAGAGGCAGGTGGACGTCTGTGATTTGAGGCCAGCCTGGGCTATATAGTTGAGATCTTGTCATGGGATGGCGGGGGGCGGGTGGAGAAGAGGTGGTGATAGAAGAGAAGGGGGAAGAGGAGGAGGAGGAAGAGGAGGAGGAGGACAAGGAGGGGGAGGAGGGGGGGAGGAGGAGGAGGAAGAAGAGGAGGATCCATTGCTCTTGACTGGATATGATATGGCTGGTTGAATTCCCACCTTGACTTTCCCTCAGTGTTGGACTGTAGCCCGGAATTGTAAGCTGAATAAACCCTTCCTCTCTTAAGCTGCTTTTGGTCAGGGGTATTTGTCACAGCAACAAAAATGAATCGATAACATCTAAAGAAAATCGCACAACATACTACATATGTTCATGTAACTGATTTACAAATCGTCTCCTTGATGTAAGGTTGGATTTATGTCCCTTTGGCCTACTGCTGTGTCCCTGGAGCTTCCAACAAGGACTTAATGACCTAGCCCGACCCCCCCCAGGACTTCTCTGGGGTGCTTGCTGGAATTCAGGCATGCTCCTCCACCCTCCCTTGCCCCTGTTCTCGCTCCCTCTCTCAGTAGTTAAATCCTACCCCATCCACGTACTCCCCCTTCCCACCTCCCTCATCTGAGTGACTGAGCTTGTCTCCGTGGCAGAGTCCACTCCTCCCTCCCACCTTGCACCTTCCAAGTGAATTCCTCACCCTGATCTTGCCTCACTTGGTCCACACTGTTGGGTGATGGGGGATGATGAACGTCCTCTCAGCCCCTCAGGGTACCCTCTTCTCTCACTTGGCAGAGTCCATCGAGTCACACGGCTCAATGTGACTATCACCCTAACCCCCAGAGAAAACTCCAGTTTTCTACTAATATCTAACGTCTTAAAGGCCATGGAGTGAATGCATACAACTTCTCTGCCCATCATGGGATCATCTAGTCTCTACTCAAATCTCATTTCTTTTTCTTTTTTTAAAAAAAACCTTTTTATTTTATGTGTGTGGGTGTTTTGCCTACATGTTTCTAAGTGCACCGCATGCATGAAATGTCCACGGAGGACAGAAGAGGGTGTCGGATCCCTTGGAACTGGAATTAACAGTTGTGAGCAGCCAGTGCCCTTTAACACTGAGCCATCTCTCCAGCCCCCAAATCTCATTTCTTAGAGGCTCTTGGCTGACTGCAAGTCTCTGTCCCTTATGGTGTCCATTCTCTTTGTACTCTAGTGATACCCACTCCAGAGGCTACTGGCTCAGTGCGCTTGGCTCCTCTCCCAATATGGCATCTTTCTTCCCCCTCAATGTATCACGTCATAGCGCCCATAGGCTGGCAAGTTACTTTGGGTTTGGTGAACACACACACACTTATTGGTCCCCTCAACTTACTTGGTAGCATAGCCCATGCTGAGCATGCGGTTGGTGAGGTGCCGGTCATCCCCGAATGTGCAGTGGGTGCCCAGAAACTTCTGATTGTACCAGGCCTCCAGGAACTGCTGCAGTAGATTGTTCCTGTACAGGCCTGGGTCGGGTGGGGAGTGCTGAGCATCAGCCCTCTGTGGTGGCCCATGCCACACTCAACCCATCTCCCCTTCTCCAACCACCCTTCCCCATCTCCATCCAGTCAGCCTTGTCCCGTGTCACTCCAGGGTCCAAGTCCAGTCCTGTGCTGCAACTCTCATCCCCAGTGCCGCATCACGCTCACTCAGTACCCGTCTAACCCTTTCTCTACCCTCCAGCCCCATCTCATTCCCTTCCCCAGCAACAGCCCCGAATCCCCCTCTTTTCCTAACTTCATTCCTCTCCACCAAACCCAGCCCCACCTCCAACACCGCCTCCACCACTCACCCCCAACCTTCCCATCTGCCATCTCAATGTTCTCAACTTTAGCCCTCTCTCCAGCTCCCTTCCTCCCTGCCTTCCCACCCATGGGGCAAGCCCTGCCCTGTGTCCTCACCCAGGGGACCGCTGATGCAGGACACGCAGTGGAAGTAACTCTGACAAGCTCGTTCCACGTTGAAGGCCACCCAGTAGCGTAGGCTGCTGAGGAAACTGACCCAGGAGTCCAGGGGGTTAAGAATCCTCACGTCCCCACCAACGGCCCCTACGCGGGGGTCCTCATCTAACACCCGCACCAGCTCCAGCAGTGCCATGGGGTCCAGCCTCGTGTCTGAGTCACACACCTGTGAAGTGGAAGGGGCCAGGATGAGATCGGAACCCTGCACAGGGCTGGCGCTTGGAAGGAACACACTAAGGGCTGCGGGGAGGCAGCTTTTCCTGCTGCTGGGATAAAATGCTCTGACAGGAGGAGCTTAAGGGAGAAAGAGTCTTCTGGCTCTTAGTTCAGCCATAGTCCCTTGTGGAGGGGAAATCGAGGCAGCAGGAGCTGGAAGCAGCTGGTCATGTCGCACCCACAGTCAAGAAGCAGAAAGGAGGGGACTGAAGAGATGACTCAGCAGTTAGAGCACTGGCTGCTCTTGCAGAGGATGTGGGTTCGATTCCCAGCACCCACATGGCAGCTAACAACCATCCGTTCCAGGGGATCCGACACTCCCTTCTGACTTCTTGGGCATTGCATGACACAGGTGCACTTAACGTACATGCAGGCAATACACTCATACACATAAAATAAAAATAACATTTTGTAAAAGAATAAACAAAGTAATGAACACTTGAGCTCACTCCACTTCCCTTTAAATATTTTACTATATTTTATTTTATTTATTTTATGAGCCATCTCTCCAGCCCCACTTTCTTTTTACACAGTCTGTTATTCCAGTCCAGGTAACGGTGCAAACAATCTAAACACCATTTTGAATTGTTTAATTGTTTTCAATGCCTAGTCACATTAAAAATACTTATTTTAAATTATGTGTATATATGTGAACTGTGTGTGGATTTGTGCTTTTGTGTGAGTGTGTGTGGCCACAGAGTCTAGAAAAAGGTGTCAGATTCCCTGGAGCTGGAGTTACAGGTAGTTGTGAGCCACCTGATGTGGGTGCTGGGAACTGAACTTGTGTCCTCTGGAAGAGTAGCAAGTGCCCCCCTCTCTCCAGTCCCCACATTATAGCATGAACTCCAAGATCCTGTATAATGAATGCCCTCCTTTTTTGTGGGTCAGAGACTGTAACATGCGTCTAACCAATGGACTATGCCAAAAGTGATTAGATGTAATTCCTAGGATTCTGTTACTGTATATGGAAGTGGCATATAAATTTTGTAATGTAATCAAAACTCCAAAGCTGTTGGTTATCAGTTCATCAAAGGGAGACCCTCACAGGTGGGCCCAGCCTAATCAAGTGAAGCCTTTAAAAGAGCCTAGAAGTAGCCAGCTGTGGTGGCACACACCCTGAATCGCAGCACTGAGGAGGCAGAGGCAGGCCGATCTCTGTGAGATGGAGGCTAGCCTGGTCTATGTAGTAAGTTCTAGTCCAGCTGGAGCCTGTCTCATAAAAAGAGTCTAGAATTCAGAAGCTCTCTCTTGGTGGCACTGAAGGGACAAGCTATCATGAGTTCTACTGGATCCAAGAAAATTAACTCTGCCAACAGATGCATGACCTTGGAAGACTCCTGAGCCTTGGATGTGCCCCAGCTCCAGTGGACACCTCAGTGATAGCCCGGTGTGCAATGTCCTGAACAGAGAACCTGGTTAACCTGTGCTCAGACTCCCAACTCACACAAACTATGCGATAATAAGTGACCATGACAACTAAGTGATAAATGCTTTGTTTTGAGCTGTTAAATTTATGATTATTGATATGAGCGACAGAAATCTAATGTAACTTTGATGGTTAATCACATCTGTCAACTTGGTGAGATCTAGAATCACCTGGGAGATGGGTCTCTGGGCATGCTGGGGATCATCTTGATTAGATTAATTGAGGTGAGGAAACCTGCCTACTGTGGGTGGCACCACTCTGTGGGTTGAGATCTTGCACTGTATAAAAAGTGAGTTGAGTCCAAGGTGATTCTCTCTCCAAGGGGCCAACTAATGCCCTTCTCAGGAATGTAGCAACTTGGAAGAAAACCTGGCATGCCTAAGGTCTTTAGGGGGCAAGGGATGCATATATCCTTTGCCTCACTTTGGCTGTCTACATGCATGTTTAAATTTTAAAAAAAGTGAGCTGAGCTCAAGCATTCATTGATTTTTGTCTCCTTCCTTCCCTTCCTCCTCTCCTTCCTTCCTTCCCTCCCTCTTTCTCTCCTTCCTTCCCTCATTCCTTCTCTCCTTCCCTCCCTCCTTCCCTCATTCCTTCCTTCCCTCCCTCCTTCTCTCCTTCCTTCCCTCCCTCCTTTCCTTCCTTCCTTCCCTCCTTCCCTCATTCCTTCCTTTCCTCCCTCCTTCCTTCTCTCCTTCCCTCCCTCCTTCCCTCATTCCTTCCTTCCCTCCCTCCTCTCCTTCCTTCCCTCCCTCCTTTCCTTCCTTCCTTCCCTCCTTCCCTCATCCCTTCCTTCCTTCCATCCTTCCTCCCTCCTTCCCTCTTTCTTTCCTTCCTTCCCTCCCTCCCTCCTTCCCTCCTTCCTTCCTTCCCTCCCTCCTCTCCCTCCTTCCCTCATCCCTCCCTTCCCTCCCTCCTCCTCTCCTTCCCTCCCTCCTTCCCTCATTCCTTCCTTCCCTCCCTCCTCTCCCTCCTTCCCTCATCCCTTCCTTCCCTCATTCCTTCCTTCCTTCCCTCCTTCTCTCCTTCCTTCCTTCCCTCCCTCCCTTCCTTCCCTCCTTCCCTCATTCCTTCCTTCCCTCCCTCCCTCCTTCTCTCCTTCCTTCCCTCCCTCCTTCCCTCATTTCTTCCTTCCCTCCCTCCCTCCTTCCTTCCCTCCCTCCCTCCCTCCCTCCCTCCTTCCTTCCTTCCTTCCTTCCTTCCTATGTATGAGTAAATAGGTAAATGAGGTCAATGTTGGGTAGATAGAGGCTTGCACAGACGGAAGACTAAAGGAGAGGTTTCTATATTGGATGAGGACAGGAAGGAAGCAGTTGGATAGCTGGACAGATCAATGGGTGAAGGCTGAATGAAAGAATCTTTGTAGTAAATGAACGAGTGGATGAATGAATGAGTGTCCTCTCTGCAAGGGCTTGCCTGCATTAAAAGAAGGATAAGGGTCTGAGCGTGGAATGTTCTTCCTAGGTGCCTGAGTTCAAATACTTGGTCTTGATCAGGTAGGGCTGTTTAGAAATTTAGGAGGTTGAAGCCTTGCTGGAGGAAGTGGGCTGCTGGGGGTGGGCCTTGAGGTTCTAGAGCTCAGTCCCACTTCCTGCTCACTTCCTGTTGTCGCTGCTTCCTGAATGCAGGACCAGTGGGACTGGCTGCCTCACACTCCCGACTGCGCCTTCCCAATGAAAAAAGGATTCATGGTATCAAGGGCGTCGGGCTGGATAAATACCCATATTAAATCAATGGCTTGATGGATGAATGAATTAGAGTTTCTGCCTGCAATGGGCATCGAATGAAAAAGAACGGATTTGTGCCTCGGAAGATGGCTCAGTAGGGTAAGGGTGCTGCGCAATCGTGAGGATCTGAGTTTGACTCCACAGCACCCGTGTCAAAAAGGCTGCACCGGCCTGTAACCCCAGGTCTGGACAAGCGTTAGGGGATCGGGGATGGGGTGTGGAGTCAGAAGGATTGCTGGGATTTGTTGGTTGCAAGCCTAGCAGCAGGTTCAGACAAAGACTGTCTCAGGGGATAAGGCCGAGCGATGGAGCATCCCCTGGCTCTAATCCGTGCACACACCTCACACCCATGTGGGCATCCAACACACACACACACACACACACACACACACACACACACACACACACACGGGTGGGGATTGACCCTACACTGAACAAATAATTGGAGGAATGTTTGTTGGAGAATAATTAGATGCATGAAGGAAAATCTCGCCATGGAACGGGTAAAGAAGGGGAAAGGAAGAGATTCATTCAAATCTGTGTGTTTGAAACCAACTCTCACGCAGCCGCGCCTGACTTTGAACTCCTCCTCCTGCCCCCAACACCTGGCGTGCGCCGTCACATCCAACCCACCGGAATTAGCTCTGCGAGGAAGGCAAGCAAGCGTGTTAGCGCAGACTGTGAGGTCACGGGCGGCGCCTGGACTCACCTGCACGTAGTCCACCGAGTCGCCCAGCGCCTTGAAGGCGGTGTACATGACCTCGCGCTTGCCGCCCCAGCGCTGCGCCACGCACACGCACCTCCGCGTCCTCACCAGCGCCTCCACCGCCAACCGCCCCGGGTCTTCGGCCTCCACCTCCCGGTAGGCGCCGGCGCCCACAGCGCCCGCAGCCGCAGGTTCCCAGGGCTGATGATAGTTGCCGTCCCACACGTAGGTGGCGGGGTCCTCGTCGGCGAAGACCTCGCGGAACATGTCCACCATGTACAGGTCCTCCGCGCGGTTGCCGTCCACCACCATGAGGATGCGCAGCCGCGTGCGCGGATACAGCAGGGCGCGCGCCGAGGTCAGGCACTGGCGCAGGTACCCGGGGTCCTCCTGGTACGCGGAGATGGTGAGCGCCACGGTCCGCGCGGTGGCCGCGTCCGGGGGCCCCTTCACCGCCGCGCGCCGCGCAGCCGCCGCCACCCGTCGGTGCTCCAGGTACGCGAAGAGGCTCTGCGCCAGCAGGTGCGCGCCGAGGAACGCCCCGTACAGGCCGAAGGCCAGTAGGCCGTAGCGATCCGAGGCCAGAGGGACTCCCGCGGCGTAGGCCCAGGTCATGAGGCCCAGGATGAGCAGGGCGAAAGTGACTGTCAGCACTCGCCGGGCCAGGCCGGAGCAGCGGCGCGCTGCCTGGGTGGGCTTGGACAGGTCCTGTAGGGAGCCAAGAGGGCGAAGGGGAAGGATGACTCCTGAGAGCCACCTGGAGAGAACCTCCCTCATGGGGTTCCTCCTCCGGAGCTGGATGCCCAGGACAGATACCCAAGATGGATTTATTTTATTTTTATGTGTGCGCGCAGATGCCCTTGGAGACCAGGAAAAGGTGCTGGTTCTCCTCCTGGCTCTGGAGTTATAGGCGTTTATGAACCACCCAATGTGGGTGCTGGGAACCGAACTCTGGTCCTCTGCAAGAAGAGTTCTTAACCGCTGAGCCATCTTAGCCCCTGCCTCCAGTAAACAACTCCTCCCCCAACACCCCACTGGAAATAATTGTGACTGTTCTGTGGGTTTATCGCCTGCTCTTATCTTCCTTTACCCTAGCAAGGGGTTGGTCTCGAACTCCCAATTCACCTTCCTCAGCCTCTTGTGATGACAGCAGTTACTCACCAAGCTAGGCTTTGAGCTGATCTCTTCATATATATATATATATAATATATATATTATGCCTATGAGTGTATTGCCTGCACGTGTGTAAGTGCACCCGTGTCATGCAGCCCTCGGAACAGAGCCCAGGTCCTCTGCAAGTGCAGTTTCTACTGTTAACCGCTGAGCCACCTCTCCAGCTCAGGACTTGATTTCTTTTAATGCAACTTATTACCTCCACCCCTAGCTGGTTTTAGCATCTCTTATAGCCCTAAGTGTTACACAACTGAAAGTCTCAAGCTTTCTCTCTTTCTCTCTCTCTTTTTTAAAATGGCACATAAAATTAAGATTTTGAGGGGTGACATAGGTCAGGTACTTTCTGCCAAGCCTGAGACCAGAGTTCTTTTCCCATGACCCACGGGGTAGATAGAGAAAATCAACCCATGAAAGTTGTCCTTTGAGCTCCACACACATGCGCAGACATAAAAATTTTTTTAAAATGTATTTTTAAAAATTAAGAGGGGGCTAGCCGGGTGTGGTGGCACACACCTTTAATCCCAGCACTCAGGAGGCAGAGGCAGGCAGATCTCTGTGAGTTCAAGGCCAGCCTGGTCTACATAATGAGTTCCAGGCCAGCTGAGGCTACAGGGAAACCCTGTCTCAAGAAGAAAACAATACATACATATGTACATACATACATACATACATACATAAAATAGAGCTATTGGGGACTGGAGAGATGTCAGGGCTTAAGTTAGCACTGGCTGCTCTAGCAGAGGACCCAGGTTTGGTACCCAGTACCTACATAGTGGCTAACAACCATCTGTAATTCCAGTTCCAGGGGATCTGAGACCCTCTTCTGGCCTCTGCAGGCATTGCATGCACGTGGTGCACTTACATACTTATAAAACACTCATGTGCATAAAATAAAAATAAATAAACCAAAAAATATTTTAAAATACAACTGTTGTATATGTATCTTGCGTGTGGATGACCAACCACACGCACCAACAAACACGGAAATGGAACCTTGAACACTCTCATGTGTTCATCGTCCTGAACACTTAAGGTCCCTGTCACACATGACAGACACACGCAAGAACAATCAGATTCTAACCATGGTTACATACATATGGTATTAATTCTCTGACCCGGCAGCAGACACACACACACGCACACACACACACACACACACACACACACACACACACACACACACACACACACACACACACACACACACACACACACACACACACACACACACACACACACACACACACACACACACACACACACACACACACACACACACACACACACACACACACACACACACACACACACACACACACACACACACACACACACACACACACACACACACACACACACACACACACACACACACACACACACACACACACACACACACACACACACACACACACACACACACACCTGTCGCATGGCTGTGGGTCCTGCTGAAGTCTGTCCTGTCCGGCTTGTTCTCCAGTCCATGTGTCTGGAGCTAGCTGGAGGGGGGCCATTTGAAGACCAGCAGAGGCGGGGGCGGAGGAGAGCTGACGTCAGGCTAAGCGTGTCCAGGGGCTCTGAGGTCAGACGGTCCGGCAGCTCCACCCTCTTTGATTCCCGACATTGCCTCCCCCCAGCCCCCTCACCAGAAATGATGATTCCTGAGGGTCAGCCTGTATTTCTGTCTCCAGCTCTGTCCCCATCTGACTTTCAACTCTTCCTCAGTCTCCTGTCCCCCAGTATCTCCTCACCTCCCCCTTCCGCACTAACCCTCACCTCCCCATTTCTACTCAGACTGTCTCCAAGTGGGTCCCCCAGGAACATGCCTCAGCAACTGGTGGTGACTACAGTGCACACACGTGCATGTCTGTGGGTGTGACTGTTGCTGGCGTGTGCTGCACAGCGGCCTGAGTTAGAGGTCTGCTCTCTGCCAGGCTGATGTGGGTCTGTGTGTGTGTGTGTGTGTGTGTGTGTGTACATGTGTGTAAGAGGAACAATGAGAAAGGGGGTCTTAGATAGACTTGTTTTTCAAAGAACTCACAGGAAGGTTGTAAAAACAGTGCCAGCGGTTGCACACATGGGCACAGTCATATTCACACCACCCCCTGACACACATGGTCTCACACATACGGTAGAGTGCCAGGCTCTGGGGCTGAGGACTGGGGTACTGCAGTCTGTCTCCCTGGGAACTTGAGGATGAACTCACAGCCTTGGTCAGTGCCTCCAGGGAGCAGCTTGGGCTTGGTGCTCTGATCGTCAGGGAGACTGAGTCAGAGGAGACGGGGACCTGAGGCGTCTGCACCCCCCCAGTCCCTTAGGGTTAGAACATCAGCCATTGTTACCACTGTACAGCCTTTCTCCTCCTCCTCCTCCTCCTCCTCCTCCTCCTCCTCCCCCTTCTACCTCTTTTTCCTTCTTTTTCTTAGTATTATTATTATAAAACAGAACTCTAAAACCACCCTTCTGTGTTTCTTTTACTGTGAGGTGATGGATAATGTCTAGTCTGCTCATACTCTCTCTGTACCTGACTCCCTGCCTATATTTGTGATCCATGTGTATTCCTATTTCCCCTATTTCCCCATCTCCTCTCCATCCCCCTCCCCCTCCCTCCCTCTTCCTCTCCCCCTTCCTCTTCCACCCCCCCTGCTCTTTTTGTTTTTTGTCTGACTCTTAAGTTTCTGACTCTTTTAAAAAAATTATCTACTATTTATATTTTATGTGTATGAGTGTTATGCCTGCATGTATGTGAGTGCACCCGTGTCATGCAATGCCTGCGGAGGACAGAAGAGGCTGTCAGTCCTCTGCAAGAACAGTCAGTGCTCTTAACTGCTGAGCCATCTCTCCAGCCCCAAAGTTTCTGACTCTTGGTCTCCTGGCTTTCTTACTCTGTGACTTTGACTTTCTGACCATCCTCCCTGGTTTTCTCATCCTTTGTGTGTGTCTTTCTGTTTACATATATCTATCTCTCTGCCATATGTCCATCCATCCATCCATCTGCCTGTCCATCCATCTGTCCCTCAGTCCATCCATCTGTCCATCCATCCATCCATCTGTCCCTGCATCCATTCATCCACCCATCTGCCTGTCCATCCATCCATCCATCCATCTGTCCATCCATCCATCTGTCCCTGCATCCATCCATCCATCCATCCATCTGCTTATCCATCCGTCTGTCCCTCTGTCCGTCCATCCATCCATCCGTTCATCCATTCTTCATCTAACTTTCAATTTATCATCTGCCATTATCCATAATCTTTAGATCATTTATTTATTATCAGCTATTGATCACCTATCTATCTGATTTATCTGATTTTCTGATTTATCTATCAGTCTCAGTTACCTAACATTTATTAATTATCAGCTATCTATTATCTATCTAATATTTATCTACAATCTGTCATCTGCTATCTGTCATGTGTCTACCATCTATTACTAATTATCTGTCGATCAATCGATTGATGTAGCCCATCTATATGTCATCTATTATTATGAACTCTTACCTATCTTTCTACTGTCTGTCCATTATCATCTATCAATCGTTGATTTATTTATTATCTATCATCTAGATATTATTATATGTCATTTACAATTTGTATGTCTATACATCTGTCATCTTCTGTCTCCTTATCTATCACCTGACACCTGTGTTTCTATCCTTTCTGTCCTTCTGTCCCCTGCCTACATTTCTGTTCTTCATGCGTCCCCCCCACCCCGACTTTTGGTCTCAGTCACCTTTTCCATTGCCTTCTCTGTGGCCACTCAGCACTCTACCAGACAAGGGCAGGTCTCACACCCTGGGTTTCCCTGGCCAGGGTGTGAGGGCCACACCAGGTTGGGTCTTTGCCTTTGCCGGGCCTTTGAGGAGAAGGTCCTGGCGATGGGATCCTGGGTACCACCCACCCACCAGGGTGGGCCCAGGCTGTATATAACGCTGTTGCCTGGAGCCTGGGATGCCTGGTGTCTGGCTGTGTCAGGATGATGGATCTTCTGATGGAGCCAAGCCCAGAGTAAAGGAGCGGGAATCCCTCTGGGTGGGAGGAGCCAGCAGAGGCTCCCTGAGGAGCTGGGCATTTGATTACCTAGCCTCAACCCCACCCTGCTTGGGTGGAGCTGCTGTATAAAACCAGATGTTTCTAAAACCAGAGTGTGCAAGAGAGAGACAGGCCAGGGCTTTTAAACCCCAGGGATTTCCTCTCCCAGGACACGGGAGGTGAGGCCCAAGCTCCACTCCCTCAGACCAGACCTCATCACTCATCACTCAGACACAGGGGTCTGGACCCCAGCCCTCCTCCCTCAGATTAGGAGTTCAATTTCCAGTCCTTCCTCCTTCCTCACACCCAGAGATCCAGAACCAGTGCTCCCTCCTCACACCCAGGGGTCCAGAACCCAGTCCTCCTTCCTCACACCCAGGGGTCCAGAACCCAGTCCTCCTTCCTCACACCCAGGGGTCCAGAACCCTGTCCTTCTTCCTCAGGCCAAGGGTCCAGAACCCAGTCCTCCTTCCTCAGGCCAGGGGTCCCAATTCCAGTCCTCCTTCTGATCCAGGACTCCAGACTCTAGCCCTCCTCCCTCAGACTCAGGAGTCTGCACTGGAGCCCTCCTCTCTTAGTCAAAGGGTGTAGGCCCAGCCCTCCTGCCTCAGGTTCAGGGGTCCAGTCTCCAAGAAGTCCTTGTAAGCGCAGATGACTGCACTGGATGTAGTAAAGACTGCATGACAAGGACAGATGAAGTTGGGCATTCCCCCAGGAGGTAGGGTCCTCCACCTGGTCACCAAAAGCTACCTCTCCCAGGAACCTCTCCTGCAAAGGTAGCCGATAGCTGGTCCCTGCCCTGCGTCCACAGATGCTGATCAGCATCAGGTAACCCCAGGATATGGTTTATGGAACACCGGGACAGAAAGAGAAGAGTTGGGGGAGACAGATAAGAATGGAGGAAAAACATGTATTCATTGTAGGGACATCTCTCAAGCTGCGGATGGGTGGGGCCCGAAGCTGAGTGATGCCAGGCACACACATAGATGACTCAGAAGGGGGCCCTGCCCCTGAGGAGGTGCCAGTCTGGTACAGGACACAGCTGTGTAAACAGGGAACCACACACTAATGGAGGAATGGTTGAACCTAGTCATGGAGTCAGGGAAGGCTTCCTGGAGGAGGTGCTCCTGGATGCTGAGGTGGTGGCAGGGGTTTGGGTGGGTGTAGAAGGTGGAGCTAGTGAAAGATGTCATGTGGCCACTCTATGCCCCACACTCTGAAGGGTCCTGCGGAAGTAGCAGCAATGTCTTCAGGGGGAAGCTGCCTCACCTGGCCTATTTGTCATGGAAACGGCCTCTGCTCTGCACATCTGACTCCTTGATCCTCCCTTTTTCCACAGTCTTGATGAGCCTTCTACAGGATGTGCAGACCTCCCCACTCAGCATCCTTCTGGTGTAGAGTGCCTTCCTTGTAGGAACGTCTCGGCACAAGTGGAGGTCTTCATTCAGTTCATGTGGATCTCTGAACTTGGAGTCTGGGCAAGTTCCTGGGCCCAAGGAGGTGCTCAGCCAGTAGGTACCAAGTGAATCAGAGGTCGGGGTGGAAAGTCAGAGTGCCAGTCAGAGGGAGAAGAGGGAAGGCAAGCTTGTATCTGTCTTCCGGCTCTTTCCCTTCCTTCCTCCCTCCCTCTCTCCTTCCATCATTCTTTCTCTCCCCTCCCTTCCTGTCATTGATACCCCCCCATTGTTTCCCTAAACAGCCCTGAATGGCCTTGAACTCATTCTATAGCCCAGTTTTCTCTCCAAATTGTGATTCTCTTGCCTCACCAGCGCTGGGATTATGGGAGTGGGAGGTGAGGTGGGTGAGTGTGTGTGTGTGTGTGTGTGTGTGTGTGTGTGTGTGTGTGACACTGCCTGCCCTGCCTCTCTTGACTCTCTTGTATGTGTCTTTTTCTACTGATCCATCTTTAGTCTCTCTCTCTCTTTCTCTCTCCTCTCTCTCTCTCTTCCCTCTGCTCTATTCCTGTCTTCCTTGTACTGCTCTAACTCTTCTGGCCTGGACTCCCCGGGAGAGCCAAGTCCCCACATCCCGGGATTTCCCAGGGGGGTAGAGAAGGGAGAGATGGGGGAGAGGGAGGGAGGAGATAAACAGGGAGAGGGCTCAGCAGCAGGGAGCCCCACACCCTGAAGATCCGGGGCAGGCACTCAGCCCTAGAGGTGGGATACGGAGCTCCCAGGGAGCGGGCCGGAGTCCCCAGGATCAGCTCTGTTCTAGATATGCAGGCAGCCCAGACTTCCAGGAACCCAGAGGCACTCCCAGCGGAGCCCTGGCACCCACACACTGGATTCTGGGAAACACCTAAATCTTCAAGATTCCCAGGAAACGCCGAAAGGGAGGGAGCCTGGCGGTGACAACGCCATCCCAAGCCTGTGGGAGGACGTTGTCCTGCGGAGAAGGCTCTCCAGGATCTTCCCTCACTTCCGCCCTTCACGCGGGGGTGGGGGGTGGGGGGGGGAAGGCACAAGAGAAAAAAGAGGACTGGGCAGGTTCTTCCGCAGTGCTGTCCTTGGTGCAGGGAGGCAGGAGAGGAGGAGGCTGGGTTTCTGCAAGGACTGCTGAGGCCCGAAAACACTGGTTTCCCAGCGGGAAGGGGGTGGGGCAGGAAGAACCAGGTGACCAAGCAGGTGTCGTAAGATAGGTTTCCCTCCGCTGAGCAGGTAAAGGTGGGAGGAGGCTGGGGCCTGGATGTCTAGATGGGAGGGAGGAGGCTGGGGGGGGACCCCTGGGTCTGGGGGAGGAGGCTGGGGCCTGGATGTCTGGATGGGAGGGAGGAGGCTGGGGGGGACCCCTGGGTCTGGGGGAGGAGGCTGGGGCCTGGACCCCTGGATGAGAGGGAGGAGGCTGGGGGGGCCCTGGGTCTGAGGGGGAGGCTGGGGGGGACCCCTGGATGAGAGGGAGGAGGCTGGGGGGACCCCTGGGTCTGAGGAGGAGGCTGGGGCCTGGACTCCCGAGTCCGAGGGAGGAAAGAACTGAGAAGAAAGGAAACCCTGGGTTTATTTATTTGAGGGTTTTTTGTTTATATGTCAGCACACATGGTTTCTTTATGGCACGTTCTCACTTCATTTTCGTTGTCCCTCCATTCCCCTCCGCCATCACCTCTCCCCTCCCCCATCT